AACTTTATACACACTGTGGAGAGAGAGGGAGAGAGAGAGAGAGAATGAATCTCTATGTGTGGATTTCGGTTGGTCTTGCATTTCAACAATTGGTAAATATTTGCCATAAAGAGAGAGAGCAATATATAAATCCTCCCAGATCGCCATAAACACTCCAACATTTTGTTTTGGAACTATTCCAATCTGTACTTGAAGGAGTTTGATGACCATGCAAGTAATGCCAGTGTCATATAAATTGCTATTTTATTTAGTTGGAAGACTAGCAAAAGCCTGGACATCATCCTCTGGTTCTGCTGTGTTGAATTATTAGCACTCCTAACCAAATGGAGATAATGTTACTTAGAACTCTGGGAGTTGCCATCCCATCCCATCAGAAGGATGTCAAGTAAGGGAACGGACTACGTATATTAACACTCAATTTGAGAATTTTAGCTGTCCCAATAAATCAAGTAGCAAAATGATTCAACCTGTATGTGAAAATAATGTGGCTTTTGGTCGTTATAAATAATAGGAGATATTACAGTTCTACTGGGCATGTAAAGCTTTTTTATATTATTCTAAATATAGTAGAATGATATAAATAGAGAATGGGGGCTAACAAAAACTTAGCACAAGAAAATTCTGATTTCTGTAAGCTTTGCAATAAGCATATGCTGTTACTTTTTGCCTTAGGGATATATGCAACAACACAATTTAATGCGAGATATGGGTGTCATCCATCATTGTTGAACTTGGAAGTTTTATTTTAAAGCAATAAATAATATCTCTGCTAAAATAATTTTTCTTGTTTCGATGAGTAGATCCAGTCTAGGACATTTCATGTGATCACACTGTAAATTGAAGATAATAAATGTTTCATAAATATATATATTTAAATAATTTATAAGTTATGTTGGAATATATAAGTTACATTGGGAGCCTTTAAGATATAAGAAACTGATTATATACTGAAAAGTAATACTAGCATTTGCTCTTTTTATGTAACTTGTCAATTGCACCTTTTATGTTTATCATACATTTCTCCGAATCCCCTATTTCTATCTACTGTATTTGTACTTTGAAAAAATAAAATAAATCTAGTCTTTGAACTGCTGTAAGTTTAAATGGTATATATTCCTGGCATCTCCTGGTAATTAACTAAGTTAAACACCAAAGATTATCACATGACATATCGAAACTCTAAAATAAATCTTTTATTGGAACATTTGTACTTTTATTATGCAGAATTCTTTGAAGTTAACGAGAGTTTAGTTTGATCTAGTGCAGTGGTTCTCAACCTGTGGGTTGGGACCAATGTTCCCTCTAATTTTTGGTCCACTGGGAGTTTGGGTCCCGCTTGAACCTTCATCCTTTGGCCGCACGGTGGGAGGGATCCGCTCAGGATCCTTTCCCTTTCCCTCCCTTTTCTTCGATCTTTCCTCTGGTTATAAATGCAAGAATACATTTCCATTCACCCAACGCGCCTGAAAATCGAAGCGAAGGAAGAGGCTGAAACACACACCCCCTTACTCCCCTCGGAAGAGATTGCGGAGGTGCCAAGATCCTCTTTTCCCTCCTCGGAGGATCGAGGAGGATCCGGCCTCAGTTCTTCCTCCTCCAGGGCCCTGAAAGGCGCGCAAAGGAACACAAAGCTGTTTCCTCTCCCCCAAACTTTACGGACAGAAGGCGTAGCTGTCCTGGGCGGATTTTGGCGATCCTTTCAGTCGCTGAATGCAAACTAGTGGCTCCGGTCGCAGGTGCAAAAGGCCTCCCTATTCGGGCGGGGGGGGGAGACGATGCCGCTGCACCCGGGACCCCTCCTGTCGCTCGGGGCGGCGCTGATGTCTCTCTTGCGGGGTAGGGGGTTGCGGTGAGTTCCTGGAAGCGAGGAGGTGAGGGGGAGAGATAGCCAGGGTCCGCGTTTGGGTCTTTCTCCCTGCCTCCAGCTCTTTCCCCAGAAGGAAACGTCTTCCTTCCTCCGTGTTACGCTGAGCCTCGTTTAAAGGCTGCAGTTTTGAGCTAGGCAAGATGGGAACAAAGGGGGGGGCGGGTTGCACAGAGCTTCTTCAACTCTGACAGGATTGTGGGGAATGGGAGGATTTATATTCCTTGCGGACAGCTGGGCATTTGCATCCCCCACTTCCTAACTCCTCACTGTTGCAGCCATTGCTGGTCCAACACGATTTTCCTCCCCTGGGATGGCAGCGGAGCCCCGGGGCTGCTTCTTCTGCGTCCGCTGGACTGTGGGGCTGGGAAGGGGGCGGGAAGAGCGGCGGGGCTGGCTGTGGCCCGTGGTGGCAGGCTGGTTCACCACCTCCTCCTCCTCCTCCAACAGGCAACAGCACTGCCGGATCCAGTTGTAGCCGCCTGCAAAACGTTTCCTTTACAGAGTTTC